AAAGGGTCAGTGGCCAGGCTGAGTGTAAACAACGTAACATTTCAGCCTTTAGATCTTGAGAAAAGAGGAAGACTGTTTTTACATGCATGTTCACCTCTTCACTTCATTACTAAAAATATAACTACATCAGAATATAGAGTCAATTTTTATGACATCCTTTTTTTTATTTCAGCAAATTGTGGAAAACATTTATTTTCCCAGTGTATGCAAACCAATAACTTTTGCTAGAGTTTTGTGTTACATTAATCATTTCAAAAAAGTATCCCATTAGTATATATCATCAATAGTGATTATTAGTATTTTGACATTGTTGCTTTCACATTTAACCACTGGTACCTTGACATGATTTTTTTCTCTTAATATTTTTACCAGAGCAGGAGCAGATCAGGAGTCAGCAATGCAAAACGATACAACTGTGACAGTATTTATCCTAGTAGGATTGACAGAGGACCCACAATTGAAAATTGTACTATTTGTCTTCCTCCTTCTCACCTACTTGCTAAGCATCTCTGGAAATCTGATTATCATTACCCTTACCTTGCTGGATTCTCATCTCAAGACACCTATGTATTTTTTTCTTCGAAACTTTTCCTTCCTAGAAATATCTTATACAACAGTCTGCATCCCCAAATTGCTTGTTACCATGGCAACTGGAGACAAAACCATTTCATATAACTGTTGTGCAGCTCAGTTATTTTTTGCCTTCCTTCTTGGTGCATCTGAATTCTATCTACTGGCCATCATGTCCTATGATCGTTATGTTGCCATCTGTAAGCCTCTGCATTATACAACCATCATGAACAGTAAAATCTGTATCCAGCTGGTCCTCAGCTCTTGGATGGCTGGTTTCCTCATCATTTTTCCAGGACTTGTCTTAGGCTTAGACCTGGATTTCTGCGATTCCAATATCATTGACCACTTCTACTGTGACACAGCTCCTCTTCTGCAAATCTCCTGCACAGATACACATTTGCTGGAAATGATGAGTTTCATTTTAGCTTTAGTGACACTCCTGGTCACCTTGGTATTAGTGATTCTATCATATACGTATATTGCCCTAACAATTTTAAAAATTCCTTCTGCCAACCAGAGAAAAAAGGCTTTTTCCACTTGTTCCTCCCACATGATTGTCATCTCCCTCTCATATGGCAGCTGCATCTTTATGTACATTAAACCTTCAGCCAAACAGAGAATATCTTTAATGAAGGGCGTTTCAGTGGTCAATACATCAGTTGCTCCACTTTTGAACCCCTTCATTTACACTCTAAGGAACCAGCAAGTGAAACAAGCATTTAAGAACTTGCTGCAAAGAGTTCTGTCTTTATCTAAGAAGTAGAATCATGATGAGGTATTCAACAGAAATGTATTATTAGGGAAATGTACCCAAAAAAAGTATCTGGATTGGGTCCGAATTTTCCTATTACACTATCTAATATATATTCATATTTTTCCTTTAACTTCTATCTGAAGCTTCATGACCTTACATAGCTATCTTCTTAAAACACTTCTCCCCTTTCAAATGACAGAACTCTATTTTTCTGTTCCATTATGTTGTTGCTGTTATGTGCTGTCAAGTCAGTTCTGACTCATAGCGACCCCATGTACAACAGACAGAAACACTGCTGGGTCTTGCACCATCTTCACAATCATTGTTATGCTTGAGCCCATTGTTACAGCCACTGTGTCAATCTATCTCGTTGAGGCTCTTCCTGTTTTTTGCTGACCTTTTACTTTACCGACATGATGTCTTTCTCCAGGGACTGATTCTTCCTGATAACATGTCCAAAGCATGTGAGACGAAGTCCCGCCATCCTTGCTTCTAAAGAGCATTGTGGATGTATTTCTTCTAAGACAGATTTGTTCATTCTTTTGGCATGTCATGGAATATTCAATATTTTCTGTCAACACCACAATTCAAAGGCATCTATTCTTGTTCAGTCTTCCTTAGTCATTGTCCATTATAAGTATATTCAAATCTGACTCCTTCCTCTCCTCTTCTTTCAATGAAATGTAGCTAATATTTGAAATCTAATTTTAATCTACTTAATATATCAGTTCTTTGAGACTATGGATTATGTGCAGTATATTTAATTATTATTATAATATTTGACTTTCTATGAAATCTTAATAAGGATAAAAGAGACCAGGACTTCTTAAAGAAATGGTTGATTCCATAATAATGAACTTGGAATATGTTGTCATACCTAAAATAAGAAAACTATCAAAGATCAATGGTATCATGTTAAAGGACACAGGAATCGACTCAAGGAACTCTCAATTGCCAATGATTTAAAAAAAAAATGAGGTTCATTATAATTCCAAAACCACATTTGTTCACCTTTAGAGTTTCCTGGATAAATAAAAGTGATAAATAAAAGTAACAAAACAAACAGACAGCATATCTGAGTGACTAAATAGTTGATGAAGGAAAATTCTTCAAAAAAGTCCCACAATTAGTAAATGCTAGAAAAAAAGAATCAAAACATTGAAATGTTACATTCTTTAATAAAACATGGGAAATAGGCAATAATTATTGATTGCCGCCACTCAGCGAAAAGTTTACAATTAATTTTTTAATGCATAAATCAGGTCAATACCTAAAATACCAATCAATTTTAATATCATGTAAAGTGGTAAATCCAGGTTATCATAAGCCACCCAACACACTGCAATAGGAAGCATACAATACCATCTGTGTTCTTGCTACCCCTTAAACAACCTGAATTTCAGCAAATGTGTTTAACTAACTGCCATCTTACAGAAAATACAGGGAATAAATTAACATGTTAAATGAGGATTCAAACTATCCAGTCCAGAATGTGGTAAATTCTATATTCAAACAACCAATTACTTCAACAAACAAAAAGCATGGGAGAAAAAAAGGGGGAAGCATTAGGAGGCACTAGTCTAGATTTTTAAAAATCTCTTAGGAGACGTATTTATCAAGTGCTGTGTGTAGACTTTGGACTATTACTAATTTAAAAAAGAAAATGCAAAGCAGCATTTTTAAATGATTGAGTAATGTTAAAATTTATAAAGTATGACAATGTTCTAGGAGTCATGTTTTTATATTCCTTACCTGTTAGAGTTAAATAATGCAGTATTTAGGAGTAAGATGATATGATATCTAGTATTTTTTTTAAACTGTGCTCCAAAAATATTGGGGGAGTTGTACACTAAATAACAATGGCATAATATTTAAAATAGTCAAAAATGAAATGATGTGTTCATGGGTATTCATTATATACTTCTCTCTACAGTGTATGTTTATAAATTTTCATAATAAATATTTAATAATAAAAACTAGCTTAGGAAAAATTAGATAGAAAGTGAATGACATGGTTATCATTCCCATTTACAGTACATATTCAATTATCTCCTAATTGCCATTTACACATTTGATTAAATTATCCATGCTTCTGACTGCATTCAAAGAGTCAAACTATATCCACAGTGAGATTGACTTGAGCCAAAACTCAACTGATTACCTAAATTCTATAAGGCCAAGTTCTGATTGATAGACCACAGTAATGTTTTGGGTCTTTGGGAATTAAGGTCAGTTCAGAACCAGTGTCTAGTTATCCTTGAAAAATCTGATTATTTTCTCTTTCCCAATGCACGTTCACCCAGTAAATGACGTCAGGTCCCTTTAGGGAGGGATAGTGAGAATATTAACAGTACAACTTTTCGGCAGTGTAGTAGCATCATTACTCAAGAAGACCTGGGCTCTTCTCTCTTCTTTCAAGGGCTCTAGGTCTATGAACCAATTCAAGTATGGAAATAAATTGAGCGGCCATGCCTCTTGGTGACTCAAAACACTAGTTCACTATACCTAGACTGTTTCTGCATGTACGGATTAAAACAGAGTTTAGTAAGCTAGCTATTTGTTTTAGTAGTATGAACCCTATAATGAACTAGACAATGCCAGAGATCTCTAATTATGCTTACTACTTCGGCTCTGCTGTTGATTACAATAGCCATAGCCACCTGGTCTTTGGCAGTTCTTTGTTGCCATTTGTCCTCTGCAACTTCAGGTTCCCATCATCTCTACTGTATTTAGGGATCCCAGTTCAGTGGTAGTAGTTTACACTGTAATTTCTGGCCTGCAAAAAATAAAAACAACACAGCTCTTCAATAATGCTTCGGTTCCCTACAAGAATATATCACTATTGTTATAAAAAGTGGCAAAGAATGCAAGATGGAATTTAGGGGTTTGAGGCCATAGCTTTATCAGAATATGTCTACATGTTCATCTAAATGTTCAATATCCCGTTACTTCCAAATCAATGCCCTAACTTTAATGAAAGAAAACTAAAAGTTCAGGAATTCAATTTGCATTCTTATTCTATCATACGTAAGATTAGACTTTGGACTGGGTGTTCAGAAATCGGGACCCTCCAACTACAGGAGATAGGAGTGTTTTTCAGGGTAATCATAAAAATTTTCATGGCCCTCATAGAGAGCACAAGTCCCTAGGTGGCCCAAATGGTTTATGTTTGACTGTTAGCTGAAAGGTTGGCAGGTCAAACCCACTCAACAACATCACAGAAGAAAAGGCCTGGCAATCTGCTTCCTTAAAGATTACAGGCAAAAAAACTCTATGGAGCAGCTCTACTCTGTAACACATAGGTTCACCAAAGTCAGAATCGACTCAACGGCAACTAACAACAATATAGGGAGCATAAACTGGGTATCAAAATACCTGAGTTGACCATTTTCCTTCTCCATGCTCTCTATCACCCTTGTAAGCAACCAACCAAATCTCTTATATTCATTACTTGGACTAAAATGTTCTAAGGCAGCAAATATTTCTTCACCCAGAATTTTAAAGTTTTAACCCTGCATACCATGAACAAACAGTGCCCCGTTCACCACCATAAACAAAGGCATTAATGCCTTTAAATCTAATCAGATTCAGAATCAGTTCACACAACTCATCCTTAAGATTATGTTCTCCTGGAACTACTGTTTGTATCAAAAAACACAGATAGATGATTCGTAGGTAGAATTGTAAATAATTAGCTTAAGTTTGATTCTATGAAATCTGGGAATCTGTTAAGTACTCTCTGTAAGGCTATTTTCTTCATGTCTGACGCTGGAGTTTGAAATTCATAGAACAGGAAGTTGGGAAGGGGAGAGCAAGAACAAGCTAGAACCAAAAGATAGGAGCAGGAGCCTATGGTGATGAATCGAAGACTGTGTTAGTTCTTATTTTCCCTCACTTCAGACTTATTGGTGTCCTAAAGAAGCCAGAGCACTTTGTCATGGAGCTAAACATACATACCTGGTTTGGATGTGGAGAAGCTAAAAGAAGATCCCAGAGAAAGTGGAGCAGCTGCATACCTGTCTACTACTTAACAAAAGAGGTGAGTCAGGAGATAAGGAACAACATTTGTGAGCTACACAATGGCTGCTGCTTAACTCCACCCTCCAAATCTCCAAGAATCTGTGGCCCACATTAACATGGTGGAGAATTCCTGGACATGTAGTTAGGAGTAAGTTGAAACATCACAAATTCTCCAGAGGTGTATTGCAAGAGAGCCTATGGAAACTTTTGATAGAAATTCATTATTCTGATTTTGTTGATGGCTTCGCAGGTGTATGTATATGTCAAATCTCCTCAAGTTATGCACTTTAATGGATGCATTTTATTGCACATAAATTATAACTTAGTAAAGCTGTAAAACAAACCAGCAAACAAACAAAAAACTGCAACCTAACCTAAAGTCAAATCAGACTATAGTTGGACTAAGAAATTCAGTTCCTATTCATTTTTCTTATTGTTGTTTTAGCTGCCTTCAAGTCAGACCTGACTCATGGCAACTCATAGGCTATAGAGCAGAACTGCTCCATGGGGTTTTCTTGGCTGTAATCTTTAAGGAAGCAGATTGTCAAGCCCTTTCTTCCATGGCAATGCTGGGTATGTTTGAACCACCAAACCACTTGCTCCGCCTAAGCTCTTCTTCCTAGGATACCACCTCAATCACCACCCAGCTAATTTGAACTTTCTCTGCTTTCAATTTCTCTGCTTCAGATTTTCAGCTGTTTTAGTATGATGTTGCTAGATTCTAGGTTCTTGGGGGGGTGGGGGGAAGGTTGGTTGGTGGGTTTATTTTTATTTATTTATTTTTTAATTTTAATTGGCCTGAGATTAAGAGAGCTTCTTAAATCTTTGTCTTGAAATCTTCCATCAATTTTGGACAATCATGGGACATTGTCTATCCAAATATTACTCTACTCCAGTTTCAGTATTCTTTCCTTCCAGTATGTTCAACTTTTCACCAGTTATCAAGTTCCTTCCTATAGTCTTTTCATATCATTATCCAGTTGCCCCAG